TCGCGCGCCACGCCCTCCTGCCGGCCTTCGGCTCCGGCGCCTCTGGCTCTCGGCCCCAGCCGGTCGCGGCTGCTGTACGTTCCCTCGCCCCACCACCACAATCCAATCGTAAACAGAGGCTGACGGTTTGAATTGTGATTGGTCGTCTCCGCAGCCCAAGCCGACGCCCGTGGCCGCAGCTGCTGCGCCCAAGCCGGCACCTGCTACCGCCGCAGCTCCCGCGGCTGGCGGGTTTGACGCCAACGGCAACCCAAGGTCCTCCGTCCGCTACGCAGGTACGTCTTGGCTTGATGGTCATCGTGCGCCGCACGCTCGTGCGTTATTGATGTCTGACCTGGTGTTCTGTTCTGTTCTGTTCTCTTTGGCAGGTGTGCGCCTGAAGAAGACCGGCGGCCATGGCCTGTGGTAAAAAGGCAACTTTGGAGAGAGGACTTGCAAGTCACATGGTCGTTTTGTATGTATGCTTAGGGCGGGAACTGAAGTGTGTGTTGGTGATGATGTGTTGTTTACAAGTGAACCCTTGATTTGGATGAGCCATCACCCAATGCCAAGGAACTTGTTGGGTTAGGAGAAAAAGCGCCAACAATGGGCGCTATGTCGACTTCACCTTCAACTCGGTGGGCTTCGTCAACATCACTCTCGCGCTGGTCATACGGGCTCTGGCTTCTCTAACCCAACAGTGGTGCGCGCAGTCTATTGGTCACACATGCGGCTGTTTGCCAATAACGGGTCGCAAGCACACGCGCTGGCCTGCGTGTGCAACTTCAGCACCACACGTGATTCAATCGCTAACGAATCGCCATTGGTGCCTAAGAACAAAGAGGCGGCAGCGACCATGAACGAAGCGGGCCAGAGTGCCGCGCGTCGAGCGAGTCGGGGTGGTGGTACGTATCGCCCCGCCGCCGCGACGTCTGGTTTTGGTTGTTGTTACGATTGACGATGGTGGCGGACACCTCTGGTTGCTCGCGTGCGCGCAGGAAAAGGCCGCGAGGACGCTCCAACGCCGTGCCTGTCCGAAGATAAAGTGCAACTCTTTTTTCCCGCCCACCGTGGTTTGCAGCGTAGAAGAACAACAAATCGCAAGAGCTCCTCTTGCTTCGGGGTGGTCCATCATGGCTTCGTCGCCGCACGTGCTCTCCACAGTAGAAATCTTTGCCGGACGCGTCGTCCCCCATGGCTATTACAAGATCATCCATCGCGATTCGTGGTATGGTGATTCGGCGTTCTACCTTCGCATCCTGGGGTTCGCCGTCTTCTTTACCTTCCTTCGCCTTGTGGTCGCCCGCTGGGTTGTCAAGGTACGCTTCATCGCAGCAACATCCTCGCTTTTTTGAAGATGGGTCAATTAATTTATAGAGTTAAATTCTGTGCATGGTACAGCCATTGGGCAAGCCCCTGAACCTCAAGGCTTCCCATTATACCAAACTGGAGGAGGCCATCATGCAGGTGGGCTTCTACACTTGGGGATGGTCCTACAATGCTGCCTACCTGTTCAAGCAAGATTGGTTTTGGCACCCCATGGTCAGCTTCCTCGACAATTTCCCTCGCCAGGCC